GCCCCCCCCGCCCCCGCGGGGGGGGGGCTCTGCTGCCGCTGCCGCTGCCGCCCGGCCGGGCTGGGCGGGGCAGGAGCCTCCTTCCTGTTTCCGCCCGCAATCCCGGAGCCCTGCAGGGCCGCGGTACCGCGGGGCAGCGGCGGGCAGGCGGGGGGCGGCCCCGGGAGCGCGGCTCGGGCGGGGGGCGCCGGCGGCGGGGCCGCGTTCCGGTCCCCTCACGGCCCGTGTGTTCTCTCCGCGGGGAGCTCGGCTCGCCCTTCCGCCGCTCGGCAGGCCCGGAGGGTGCCCGGGCCGCAGGTGAGGCGGTGCCGGCCGCGGCGGGGGAGGGAGGGAGGCTCGGAGGGAGGCTCGGAGGGAGGCTGTCGAGCTGTTCGCCAGGGAGGCGCTGCGGTGGTTTTGGCTGCCCCGCTGCCGGCAGTACAGCACCCAAAACACTGCCGCGCCTCCCTGGTGAAACCTACACAGACAAACCAACCGGGCTGGCTTTCCTTCACTTCCAGAGAGCCACAATCCGCCTCTTTTTCCACTTAGCAGTATATTCTTGGTAGCATTTACAACTCTGTTGGATTAAATGCCTAATTATTCTATAAGCACTGAACTTTAATGTCGGATCAATGCTTTGTATTACACTTTCACTTACTATGCACTGCTTTTAACTTCTAGCAAAAATAGCCCTGCACTTTGATATTGAACAGCTATCAATAATGACAACTTGTATTCAAATGGCACTTGGTATCCTAGGGTTGGAAGGGACCGCTGGGGATCAGCCAGTCCAACCCCACTGCCAAGGCAGGATCGCCTAGAGCAGGTGACACAGGAACCTGTCGACGTGAGCTTTGCATATCTCCAGAGGGAAACTCCATGACCTCCCTGGGCAGCCTGTTCCAGTTCTCAGCCACCCTCAGTGTAAAGTTGTTCTTCCCTATGTGAAGGTGGAACTTCTTGTGTTTTGTTCTTGTGTATGTGTGCTTTCATTTTGCTGAGTACTCATTTTGCTGAGTACTGTTCTTTCAAATATTCCACAATATTTCTCAATAGGAAAACAGAAAAGATGTTCGATATTAAGGCTTGGGCCGAGTACATCGTGGAGTGGGCTGCCAAGGACCCCTACGGCTTTCTCACGACCGTGATCTTGGCTCTCACACCGCTGTTTGTAATTAGTGCGGCACTGTCATGGAAGCTTGCAAAAATGATCGAGGCCCGGGAACGAGAGCAAAAGAAGAAACAGAAACGCCAGGAGAACATTGCAAAAGCCAAACGAACAAAGAAGGATTAAACGGGCAAAATGGCCTTCCTTGTGCAAAGAATCCACTTTTAAAATGAAATACTTGTACATTTTGTGTTGTAACTGTCCTTTAATACTTGATCCTGTTACTTCTTGAAGTATGAAATTTAATACTTCCAGTGTATTTTTTTCCCTGCTGATTTGTGTTAAAATTTGCCCAAGTGACACTTGTTAGAGTAATTTAATTTACAACTTGTATTCTAGTGCAGGTTGCTTTTCTAAATTTGCATGTTAAATTAAAAAGTTAACCTCTTGGGTGGCTCTGAAGGTAGATTTTTTTTTTTCTCTTAGCTGAGCTATGACTTAACAAGTGTCTTAAAATTGTCAAGTTTAGGGGAAAATGTGAATAATAAACTGGATTACACGAATGCAAGTTTTGGCATACCTTGAGCAGGGCTGTAGAGACAAGCTAGCTGTAGCATTTGATAGCAGACATGACTGATTTCCTTTAAGGTCACTGCATATGGCTGTGTGTGCCCACAGTGGCTGCTGCAGTGTCTTTGATGGTGGTGCTTGTCTGCACAAATAACCTACCTTAGCTTTTCCTGTTTCCTGAACTACAAGCCATCAACAGCCTTTAGTTCAAGTTCTAGGAAACTGATTGCTTGTTTGTATTAGCTTCTTATTAGCTTCACTTCTCATAAGGCACTCATGTTCTGTAAAATACAGTACTGTTGTTTGGTCTTCCCTAACAATCACCTGAATGCTCCACCTACAACTAATTTGTTTTTGCCTTCATGAACTCCTTATGTCTCAAAGAATAGCCATAAATGGGGTGAGACCAAAGACCCAGGTGGCCTAGTGTTCTGAGTCCCAGAGACCTATAGCAGATGGCTGTGCAAGGATGATGCACAAGCAGGTGACAATAGTTCTGCTTGCTAACCTTCTGGCTACCTTTGATCTAAGGCTTGAGTTTAGGTAGGACTTTTGTTCTCATGGCCCTTGAAACTCTGCTGCCTTACAGGTTGCAAGATGCTGACATAATAAAAAAAAAAGTCAGGTTTGTGTTGTAAATACATCAAAATTATTTAACCTTATTTCCAATTAATCTCTTCTAAACAGAACTGAGTAATTTTTCAAATAATTTTTTAATAATAGTCTGTGTTGGCCTCTACATAGTCTAGTTCAAAAGAACTTGTAGCAGTCATTGAGATTTTACATTTCACATATTTCTAAACAGCAGCATAGAATTGTGCATTCTAGCAGCTACTCTTTGATCAGGTTTAAAAATAAAACCTTAAAATAATACCATTGTTCAACTGAAGAGACTTATAGAGCTGGCTGACACCAAGGGGGATCAGAACTGGGGAGTCTAACTGAAATTACTTTAAGTAAGTGTGAAGTTGATCCCCTTTCAATTTTGTTGGTGAAAGCAAGCATTATTAGAATATGACATTTGGGCATTTTATAAATATGTGAGATTAAGTCTCCATGTTTTGTATGGTGTTGTCAAATATGTCAAAAAATATGTTTGACCTTTGATACCCACATAGCTTGAAACACAGGGAAGAAAACGGATGAGGGATACGCTCCGTAAATAAATTTGATACTTTTTGAAAAAAAATTGTGTGGTCTCTATTTTTATTTGAAGTTCTCAAACGTCTCTAAGCAAATCATGTGCACATTTTATGTCTCTAAACTATAGCCAAAATTATCTAAACATGTAGGGAAGTCCACGGATATACCAGGAATAAAAACCAATTTATTTAGTTAAATATTCATGACAGTCCCTTGTCCCAGACCTAGTGCTATTTTCCAGCAGCTTTATCAAGTACTTCCAACTTCCATGATAGCAGTTATATGTAGCTTAACTTGATTTTACCCTATGAAAATTGCTGTCTGCAAATCAAACATTCAAATATGTTGACTGTTGTAAGTTACAAGAACGTCTCTACTATGAGTACAGTGTGTAATCAGTGTAGTGTCATAGTGATTCCTGTTAATGAAATCAACTTTTCCGTCTGCTTGCCAGCAGAAAGCACGCAGGCACTGCCAAGGGATTTATTCTGAAGAGAGATCTTGGCCAAGGTTTGGGAAAATGTAAGTGTACTGACTACAATTCTCACCTCAAAGACTAATTTAGTTTTAAAACTGTTCTTAAGGAAAAAAAACAATTTAGAATTTAAGAAAATTTAGACAGTCTTTTAACTATGAATTCAAGAGTAACTGATGAACAGTAACCATCATAACCAAACTTAGAAACACATCCTGTTTTTCACTAAACCAAATACTTTGTTGTGATTAAGCCTATTTGAATAGTTCTGCAAAAGTAACTGAAACTGCTTTATAATACTACTTTATTTTACTATTGTATATAACAACTGTGTATGTCGTCTGTTACCATATTTATCCATTAACAACATCTGTCCATTAAATTGCTTATTTATTTTGACTACTCCCACTGCCTGGTGGCATCCAGGCACCTGGCTGGAAGGTGTTTGCGGTGCTTGTGGGGTCTTGTGAGAGCTCCTTCTTTCCATAATAAGGGGCAGATGCATGGCCTTTAACCTGAGTATGACTTGGTTCAGCAACAAGTCCTTCCTCATACTCCTTGGCCTGAAGCAGCTTATCCTTTTCAGATACATCCTTGACTTTCTGCTTCATTTCTTCTCTGTAATTTTCATTCCTAAGAATCTCCTAAGAACACAGTAGAAAGATAACTAGATAAGTAAGAAGCAAATGCAATACACAGTGCTGTAATGAAACATTTTAAACAGTCATTTGTTTTCTTATTTTTATAATCCCCATTTTCAGGTATTAAAGTAAAATAAAATGTGGCAAAATTAGTTGGTTTTCTACAACTGCAAATTCAACTTTATTTTAGAAGGTTATGTGTGGATCATTTTGTTGAAGAAAAACTGCATTGTCACTACAATCTGCTTCACTATTCTATTGGAGCAAAAAGAAGAAATCAAGAAATTAAATACAGTTATCAACAAATGTGAAAGTACATTAAAAGTAAGGCTACTTTTTTCCTTGTTTCCTATGTAGGAGTTGATCCTTACAGATATTTATCATTTGCATCTCTTCCTGTAATTCACTATTCACTTCCTGTAATTTCACTAAAGTGGTGCTAGGTACCTGTGCCTCAGGGCAGTTTTGGGACAGAGTGCAACCTTTGGGGTCTCGTCTAGTGCAAGACTACAAAATAAATAACTAAAATCACAAAATCACAGACTGGTCAGGTTGGAAGATAGCACAGTGGGTCATTTGGTCCAACTTCATTCAACCTCCATGCTCCAGCAGGGTCATGCCAGAGCAGACAGCACAGGATTGTGTCCAGATGGTGCTCGATTATTTCCGGTGAGGGAGACTCCTCAGCCTCTCTGATCAGTCTGTTACAGTGCTCAGTCAATCCCACAGTGAGGAAGTTCCTCCTCACATTTAGGTGGAACTCCCTGTGTATCAGTTGCTGCCCATTGCTTCTTGTCCTATTGCTTGGTACCACCAAGCAGAGCCTGGCTCCAGCCTCTTGACACTCTCCCATCAGATACTGATAGACATTGATCATGTCCCCATTCAGTTATCTCTCTTCAGCTTTTCCTTGTAGGAGGGATGCTCCAGTCCCCTAATCAAATTCACTGCCCTCTGCTAGATCTGCTCCAGGAGCTCCATGTCTCTTGTCCTGAGAAGCCCAAAACTGGACACATTCCATGTGAGGCATCACTAGGGATGAGTACAAGGGCAGGATCACCTCCCTCCACCTGCTGGCAAAGCTTTTCCTAATGCCCCCCAGGATCCCATTGGCCTTCCTGGCCACCAGGACACACTGCTGGCTCATGGACAGCTTGTTTTGCACCAGGACCCACAGAGCTGCTCCCCAGCAGGTCAGCTGTGCTGTGCTGGTGCCTGGGGTTGTTCCTCCCCAGGTGCAGGACCCTGCATTCACCCTTGTTGAATTATCAGATGATTCCTCTCTGCCCATCTCTCCATCCTGTTGAGGTCCTTCTGAAGGGCTGCACGGCACTCTGGGGTCTTGGCCATTCCTGCCAGCTCTGCATGCTCAGCAAACTTGCTGAGGAGGCAGCTGTCCCTTCACCCAGGTGACTGGTGAGTGACTTAAACAATACTGGGCCCAGTAGTGAACCCTGGGGAGCACCACCAGTGACAGGCCTCCAGCTAGACCTGTGCCAGTGATTACAGCCCTCTGGGTTCTGCTATTCAGCCAGTTCTCAATCCACCTCACTGTCCACTCCTCCAGCCCACACCTCTTCAGTTTTCTGACAAGGATGTTGTGAGCAACAGTGTCAAAAGCCTTGCTGAAGTCGAGGTTCTACTGCTCTCCCCTCCTCTGTCCAGGTAGTTCTGTCATCATCAAAGTCAATCAGGTTGGTCAAGCATGATTTATCTGCAGTGAATCCATGCGACTATTCCTGGTCACCTTCCAGTCATCCATGTGGATAGAGATGGCCTCCAGAATTAAGAAAAAGGCTGAATTATTTTATCCAGATTACAAGTATATGGGAGATTTAAGAACATATACCAGTACACTCCTCTGTGAGCAAGAGACTATGACAGGATTTTAGTAATTCAGGTGTTAAAATACATGTGATACTGACAAGTGTTGAAATATCAACTATGAACACCTAAGAATGATTTAAATGACAGTAATTAAAGTAAACCCTATCCTGGGAATTGACCATAGCTGGATGCCAGATGCCCACCAGAGCTTGTCACCAGAGCCCAGTGAGAAGAGGACAGAGGAGAGAAAATATAATGAAGTGTTCACAAGTTAAGGACTATGAGAGATCACACACCAAATACACAAGCAAAACAGACTCAATCCTATTGCAGGATGATGAGAAGTAAAACAAGATCTTAAAATCACCTTTCCCCTCCCAACACCCTTCCTTCCCAGCTCTGTCTCCTCCCCCTAGCAAGTGCAGAGAGTCAGGCAATGGGAGTTATGGTCAGTTCATCATACATTCCTGCTGTTGCTTAGGGAGAGGAGTCCTTCCCCTATACCATCACGGGATCCTGCCCATGGGAGACAGTTCTCCATGAACTTCTCCAATATGAATCCATCTCATATGCAACAGTCATCCCCAAACTGCTGCAATGCAGGTCCCTTCCATGCGGTGCAGTACTTTAGGCACAGCCTGCTCCAGTGTGGGTCCCCTACAGGTCCTGCCAGGACCCTGCTCCAGCACGGGCCTCCCATGGGTTCACAGCCCTCTCTCAGGCATCCACCTGCTGTGGCCTGGGTCTCCTCCAGGGGCTGCAGGTGGATCTCTGCATCCCCAGGGACCTCCAGGGGCTGCAGGTGGATCTCTGCATCCCCAGGGACCTCCAGGGTCCCTGCAGGGCCACAGCTGCCTCACCATGGTCTGCACCACGGGCTGCAGGGGAACCTCAGCTCTGGTGCCTGGGGCACATCCTGCTCCCCCTTCTGCACTGCCCTGGGTGTCAGCCGGGCTGTTCCTCTCACATGCTGTCACCCTGCTCTTCTCTCAGCACAATTGCGACTCTGCAAAACTTTTTCAAGTCTCCTTAAATATGTCATCAGAGAGGCACTACCACCATTTCTGATGTGCCCAGCCTTGGCTAGAGGCATGTCCATCCTGGAACTGGCTGGGAATATCTCTGCCAGACATGGAGAAAATTTCTGGTAGGTTCTCATAGAAGCCACCCCTGGAGCTGTCCCACTACCAAAACCTGGCCATACAAACCCAGTACTCCTTATATTAGAGGTACCACAGAAGTACCCCTTTTCTTAGTTCTTAGTTGCCTCTGTACTTAAATTCAGAGATGCACAGAACAAAGGCAGAACCCTTTGCATACAAATAGAAATTGAATGGAAATACACAATATACAAATGACTTTGCAAACTGAAGAGGGGTGAAAATTCTCACATGCTCAAATAGAAATATTGCCAAGCATAACAAGACTAAATTTTCAGTAGTCTGTATTAGCAAAACTTCTCCGTGGCATCTCTCAATTCTATTCATTTACCACATGCCTATTTAAAACCACCACAACCTTATTGATTTCAAGGGGATTACTCCTATGCCAATTGTATTAAACTACTACTAAGGAACAAGTAAAGCAAACACCTTTGTGATAACTGTAGACTGAATCTTTTTCTCTGCTAAAACAACAGGAAGTGATATATTAAAATATAAACATAACCTACTTACTGAGAATAGCTATTATTAATTTAAAATCTCTTCGAGTGATTACTTCAACATAAAGTTATCTTAGTCAGGTAAGAGCAGCTGTAACTAAATGCCAAATGCTCCAAGTCCATTTTAAATGTTGATACATAATCTGTTCTCTTTCAGACTCAAATAAGGCTCTTTCAATCAGCTTTCTGTGGACAAAGTATAATTGTGATATAGTAAAATGAAAAAGTGGATCTTAAAAAAAGCCAAAACCACATGAGAAATTATTCTTATTAGCAAATGCAAAAAACCCACCCCAAACTGAAGTGACTTATTCAGAATTTTCTATACAATCTACCAGGACAAAAATTTTTCTACTACAAAATATACACATTGATTTTTGGCATTAAACTCATGCCGCTAACATGTACACTGAAATATGAATTGGATATACTGGGTCAATTGGCATGTTAGAAAAACTGGGTCAAATATATTCTCACTTTGAGACTCCACAGCTACCCAATCCTTTACTGTCTGGTTTGCTATAGAAAGTAACTCAGGGCTAAAAGCTAGTTTGTTTGTGAGTTTTTTCCTTTGTTTAAGTTACATTGTCAGATTCAGAACACTTATATTCTCTCCTCCTCCAAGATAAATCACAGTACTTTATAAAATGGCTATCTTTACTATAAACTACCCCCAATAAATTTTTTACTAAAATATAAGTACATGAACATGCAACGTGCTCTGACCATTAAGGGAAGTACAAAATCTTTCTATCCAACCCAGAGAACATATTCTCTTTCAGATAGCTGCAGCTTTTTAAGGATTAGCTTGTTCTTCCAACACTTTCTTTTTGTACAAATGAATTATATAAGCTCTTTGAACCAGCAATTCTCAGGAAGTACATGGCATCTAAAGAGTATCAAAAATGTCCTCCAAAATTTTTATCACAAGAAAACTCTAAGAACTGGGGCTATGCTGCAAAACCAAAAAACAAAAAATGCCTTAAGATATCCAGCCATATTTTAACGTAGTTGAAATCCGTACATGCAGATGTTCACTTTGAAATGCATCAGCTCCCAGCATATGGAATAGGATGATATGCCAAGAGCTAGGTTCAACTACATGTTCTGCAGTTTATTTTTAGGTGGAAAGTTAAACAAGACATTTTGTCACTGCAGGTTGTCCAGCTTCGGTAATTATTTTAAGTTGTATGATGTTTTTAACACTTCTAATGTTTGGAGCTGCATGTCTTCCCTCCTTAGGAAGGCAGAGTTTAAAAAAGTGATGTGTAAGGTTTTCTTGAAGAACATTATTATTAAGGAAATACCAAAGTAGCCCTTTGTGGAGTTTGAGGCAGCTGTTTTTCATCCACAAAACTGCTGGCTTCTGCACAATCTGACATCTTAGTATTGGTAACAGCTGCATGATCAAAGAATGAAAGATGGCCTGCTTCTAGGAGCAACACAGCTCAAGACATGTTGCTGTCTTCCAAGGGTGTTTCTGCAAAAGCCATGGGGCTGTATTTCCGGCCAC